TTCCACTTCTGGGACTTTTACTTGTTAATTGGAGATATAGAGTTTCATAGGTTCCTGCCTAGGCTGGCTTGATCTGCAGATCTCAGACTCCTGAGTTACAGGTACCCAGCTTGAAAGTGTTTCTTCTTTAAGATCACAGAACCTAGGCCAAAATAGCTAACAGATCTTTTGTTTTGTTTTGGACAGGAATTTACAATGTAGCTAAGCCTGTGGATGAAATCTGAGGATCATGGTTCAAAGCCAGCCCAACAGAGAACCTGAGATTCTTATCTAAAACAAAACAAAACAAAAACAGCAAAAAAATCCTAGAGGGAGGTATGGCTCAAGGCATACAGCACCAGCTGTGAGCTAATCTTAGGACCAACTCAAAAAATACTGAAATTGGAATTTTGCAATAATAAATGGGGTGATTTGACAAGAATACCTAGAGAAGTTCTATAAACACCTAACAACAAGACATCACACAGGTGCTGCCCCGAGCTACATCACATGGCTGAGATGACCTGGGAAGACCATGGTTTGAGGCCAGCCAAGCAACAAACACAGAATTGGGCATTCCATGCCTGTCATCCCAATTCTGAGGAAGGCTAAGATCTGGAACAGTAGGGCTCCAAATCAAGACAGCCAAAGTAAAAAAATCCTGGGACTTCTTATCTTGGCAGAAAATGCTAGCCCTAAATGCAGGGAGAAGACAACTTATAAGAAGCTAAATCTGGAAAAATCGCTAAAAGAAAGCATGTGAAAATGATCCTTTTGTAGTATCACTGATTTCGCACACAGGAAAAAATATGTGAAATATATAGGAAAAAATATATTACATTGACTTGAACTAAATGAAACTTTTTTTGGAGGGAGGGAGGTCATGGGGCTTTAACTCAGAGACTGGGCACTGTCCCTGGGGTCTTTCACTCAAGGCTAGCACTCAAAGCTAGCTCTATCACTTGGAGCCACAAAGCCTCTTTTGGTTTTCTGGTAGTTAACTGGAGAGATGAGTCTTAGGACTTTCCTGCCAGAGCTGGCTTTGAACCACAACCTTCAGATCTCAGCCTCCTGAGTAGCTTGGATTACAGGTGTGAGCCATCAGTGCCCAGCTAAATAAAAACTCTTGTTCTTTAAAAACATAAATGGAAAATACACCCTAGGAGCAAATATTTACACTTTGACATTGTATGTCTAACAAGGGACTTACATCCAGACTGCATAAAAAATCTTAACAGTTCCATCTACAAACTAGTAAATACCCCTAACTGAACATAAGTAATCAATAGATGTGAGTAAACGTTTCACCAAGAAGAGATGTACAAATGAACAAGAATGATGTCCAACATTCCTGGTCATATGGAAAATACAAATTAAAATGACAGTGAGTTACTGCCTTAAAGACAAGAGAATAGGTGAAATTAAAAGAGCAAATGTTGGTAAAGATATAGAGCAAGCAACTAGACTTCTCCTATTTCACTAGTAGAAATATAAAATGTCACAACCACTTTGGAAAGAGTTTGGCAGTTTCTTGCCATTAAACATACCATTACCATAAGATTCAGAAATTCTCAAAATAAATGAAAACACATTTACAGCAACATTTGCATGCAAATATT